ATTTATTGTCATTCCTTAATCCTTGTGCCGGTCAAAGTTTGCAATTCAATTCGGATGGAGGGAGTAAGAAAAGAGCAGATTCGAGTTCCAGTTATTACCAAAAAAAGTAATACAAATAATATTTGATCCCTACACCATTTTTTCATCATTGAAATCCATCCATAAGAATGCATTATATGGATTAGCTCCCATAAGAATGTATTTTATTTAAACACCTACCGGTGCATACGCACGGGAAAGAGTAGTCCATGGCACGCATATATATTTACTAATAGACTAATCAAATATTAAAATAAAAAACACATTTGAGAATTTTACTTTTTTTAATAGTTACTAACAAATATTTGCCTTTATAATGGAGGATAGTACACTAAAGCAATACATATGAGAGACAAAATAGTCTCACTCACTTATTAATTAATCTGTCCATCTTATAACTAAAGAATAAAGATATTACATATAAGAGAAAATTCTTACATTCAATTATTAGTCCACTTATCTTCTTATACCTAAAATCATTACATAAGAGAAAGAAAAAATTATTCGGACCAATTATTAGTCCGCTCATCTTATACACAAAAGTACTACATATGAGAGAGATAAGCTTCTCTCGCTCATTTATTACTTATTAGTACGCTTATCTTATACCTAAAGGAATTACATATTAGAGAAAATTCTCCCCTCTTTTATTAGTACGCTTATCTTCTTATACGTAAAAGAACTACATATGAGAGAAAGAAATTACCCCGCCCAATTATTATTTTGCTTATCTTATACCGAAAAGCACTACATATGAGAGAAAAAAATTCTCCCGCCTAATTATTAGTCTGCTCATCTTATACTAAAAAGTAGTACATATGAGAGAGAAAATTTTCTTCCTCAATAATTAGTCCGCTTATGCTATACCTAAAACTCTAAAAGTAATACATATGAGAGAGATAACTGATAAGCTTTTTCTGCTCATTTATTAGTCTGCTTGTCTTATTCTCTCTCGTTCCAAAAAGGTTTGACATATTGACTTTTGTTGGTCAATAACAATCAACTTTGATCAATAATATTTTTTATACAAAATTATTTTCAATACGAAAATTATATTAAAATGTGTCTTATTCAAAATATTTTCTTAAAAATATAAAATTTATAAATTATATACAAACGTGAGAGAAAATTCTCCCTTCCACTCAATATACTTAAAAGTACTACATGTGAGAGTGAAAATTCTCTCGCTAAATTATTATTTCACTTATCTACTTATATCTAAAAGCACTACATATGAGAGAAAGTTCTCCCTCTTCTTTTTAGTACGCTTATCTTATACCTAAAAACATTACTTATGGGAGAAAAAATTATTTCACTCATCAATTATAAGTACGCTTATGTAATACTATCTCCGTGCCATAAAACTTTGTCATTTCATAAAATTTGAACCATGATTTGATTAGTATAATATAATGGAAGTACTACATTATAATTTTTATAGTGCTATGAAAGTACTTTTAACAAAGAACATTTTCATATAATTTTTGAATTATAAATAATTTTCAATAAAAAGATATAGTTGGTCATAACTTTGAAAATGACAATTTTTTTGGACGGAGGTAGTATCTAAAACCACTACATAAGATTGATATGAGATAGAAAATCTTATATGTACCTAAGAGTACTACATATGAGAAAGAAATTCTAGCTAAATTAGTATTTCGTTTATTTTACACCCAAAAGCACTACATATGAGAGAGAAAATTATTTCATTCAATTAATAGTCCACTTATCTGATCTTATACATAAAAACATCTCATGTGGGAGAGAAAATTATTCCAATCAATTATCTCGTATCTAAAAGCACTTCATATGACAGAGAAAAATCTCACGTCCAATTATTAGTCCGCTTATCTAATCTTATACCAAAAAACATTACATATGGGAGAGAAAATTATTCCAATCAATTATTATTTCACTTATCTTATACCTAAATGCACTGCATATGAGAGAAAATTATTCCGCTTAATTATTAGTCCTCTCATATTATACCATAAATACTACATATGAGAGAGAAAATTCTCTTGCTCAATAATTAGTTCGCTTATGTTATACCTAAAACTCTAAAATATTACATATGACTATATGAGAGGGATAAGCTTCTCCCGCTCATTTATAAGTTCGTTTATCATATACTTTCCCGTCCCGGAAAGGTTCGTCAAATCGACTTTTCTTGATCAATGACGATCAACTTTGATCAGTGATATTTTTTATATGAAATTATTTTGAATAAGAAAATTATATCAAAATGTTCCTTATTCAAGATATTTTCATAAAAGTATAAAATTTGTAAATTGTATACAAATACGAGAGAAGATTCTTTATCTCTCTTATTAGTACGCTTATCTTCTTATACCTAAAAGTACTTAATATGGGAGAGAAAATTATCCACTCAATTATTATTTCGCTTATCTTATACGTAAAAGTTATACATCATCATCGTCATCATTACTCCAGTGCCGCAAAGGTTGCCTCCTATCGTTCAATTATTATTTCGCTTATCTTATACGGAGTATCTAAAAGCACTACATATGAAAAAGGAAATTCTTATTCCGCTCAATTATTAGTCCCTTATTTTATTCGTAAAAGCACTACATATGAGAGAGAATTTTCCCTCTTGCTTTTTAGTAGACTTATCTTATACCTAAAAGTACTCTGCATGTGACAAAAAAAATTATAGCACTCAATTATTATTCTGATTATATTATATTTAAAAAGATTACATATAAGAGAAAAAGTTCTTTCACTTAATTATTAGTCTGCTTATCTTATGTTATACCTAAAAACATCACAAATGAGATATATTTTAGTTGTTATAATTATGTTTGCTTTTAAATCAAAGTCACTATAAGGAAAATGGGGTTTATCTTAAATATTACTAATCAAAAAGTTATGGACAAAAATATTACTTGGTAAACTACAATTGTATTAAATGTTTACACCATAGTATTGCAATATTGGTGTCAAATGAAAGATCATAAAAAAATATAAATTTTGATATAATTTATGAAAAATTTGAATTACACATAAATAACTTATAGAACTTTAAATTTCTCATTGAAAATTGAAAATAAAATAAATTAAATGATACCCACCACCAGTGGCGGAGCCAGAAAAACGGCTCAGTGGGGTCAAAACTCAATCTATATACAGAATGAAAACGGTGGATCGTTTTGAAACCATGTTCGAGTTCAGTATTTCATATGCAGTTTAGATAATTTAAATAGGCGTTAGCAAAAAGATAAATTGTCTTTGCTCTGTTTCTGAGTTGTGTCACGTAATTAAGTATTGAGTGAATTATACCATATTTTTAAAATTTGAGAAAATAATCTATAATATGCATCAAATTTTGCTGATTTTACATATAGATAGTGATGATTTTTCAGAAGTCATAACTTTTTACCAGTAATGAGTTACGAGGGCCATAATATATCAAATCGAAGAAATTCAAAGCTCTATACTCAAACGTTCAGTGAGGTCGGCTGACCACCCTGACCCCCTCTTGGCTCCGCCCCTGCCCACCACACCTAAAATTAAGCACTATCGGTCTATTCTTGCTTCTCAATATGACACGTGGCAGCATATGAGGAAACAAATCAAATGAAACGGAACAATGTGAGTGAGACACGTATGAATTTTATATGGGTAGAATTGTCTTTTAATGAGCTATCTCTTTTCTTATATATAAATAGAATAGAATAGATAAACAGATAGATGGGAGATTTCCCAAAATAGGAGTAATGGAGTTTGGAATTCCAAAATATGACTACTATATTTTTATTCCCGGAATAGGACTAATCTGACAGTATTTACTGTCATCTTGTGGGCGTGAATGTCAAATAGTTGCAGTACAGTGCATTTAACATGACATTATTTATTATAATTAATGACAATATTTTTTAATTATGACAGTGTTTTTCATACATGACAATAAAAACTCTTATTTCGGGAAGAAAAACATAGTAGTCCTATTTGGGAATTTTCAAACCTCATTTACTCCTATTTAGGGTAATTTCCCTTTAAACATCATAGTAAAAAATGCAGGTAAATACCTTGAACCGATAAAAGAAATTCAACTCAAACAATTGGCAAAACTGCAATGTTTAAAGACAAGTTGTAGTTTTATTCCATAATATCTAGAGTAAGCAATTCCAAATTCCTGAAGCTAAAGTTGACCAAACTCAAGTACAGTGAGATATTGAAACATTGGCTTATCATCCATGATGATGTATTGTAGGTTCTGCGATATTAATAATCCTCTGTACTTTCTTCTTTTGCATTAGGCATTGACTTTTAAAAGTTTTGCTAACATATCTAATTGAACCAGCTATCTGGAAATGACTTCAATTCATACTTCAACCAATTAAATAAGCAAGGATTCAACCTCTTCCTTTGAAATCATGTGAAGCATGTTAATGTACATATCTGCTTCTAAAGCATTACAAGAAACTAAGCGAGCTGGGTTTCAGTCCTCAATAGATATGGAGCGGTCACTCTCTGCTAATAAGAAACAGCAATCTCGAAATTCAAGATTTCTCCTAGATAGGGAAACATTTTAATTCAGCTAATTATTCAGCTTAAGCCCTAACCTGCTAACCAGCACTTCTTCCAAACAGCATTACTTTTATAATAGTTGAATGAACTAAAGATATTTCAGCACATTATTAGCTGAAATGGTATCCCAAACATAGCCTAAGACATCACTAGAGAAAATGAGTTACATTTCCTATATATGAATCAACATAACACGTCTTCTTAACTAGGATCAACATTATTATTTTTCATAAACCAGACTCTTCCATTCTTAAAAGAGAAATAGATTTTAACCTTTTTGCTTCTTAGTCAACCAGGGTAATTTTACTTGAAACCCCAATGTATATTATCCGTGCAAATCAATCTTATGCAACATATGCTGATAAATAAGTGCCTGTGTTGTACTTGAAAATTAACTACAACGGTAGCACAGATTATGGTTCAAACCAGTTGCTTTCACTAGACTGGATAGTACACTCAGAATCAATTCCAATATCATTTCCTTAGCTTTGGTATCCATTCCGCTACAAGCTAATTCGGCGACAAAAATATAATGTACTGTGGTGGAAATGGGGTATAAACTATAAAGTTAGTTCTACACATCCCAAATAGCCACCAAGAAATTGAACTCCATCAATTCTAAGAAGCAAAAGAAAAAGACACTACTAGATCTTCTGATCTAACAAGCATGCCAGCATCCATTTCATCGGCAGTCTTCAGTCCACCCATTGATGAAGGGAGATGGATCAGCCAAAGTCCCAGGACCTTAGACTCAGAACACATAATAGAGATTGATTTCACTCCAACAATCTTTCAAGTCCCCCAACCCTTGAGAGAAACCGCCCCAGAAGCCTACACTCCACACCTACTTGGTCTGGGACCATACCATCATCTCAGGCCTGATCTCCATTCCACCCACAGGCAAAAGCTTACCCTGATCAAGAAATTCCAGAAAAACTCCCAAGAGTTACTCAAGACTCCGTTTTTTTCCTCGAAAAAGATGAAGGACATTGAGCCCGTGGTTCGAGCTCACTATGACAAGTACTTGGATCTTGAAGGGGATACCTTAGAGTACATCACCCACCTCGATTCTTTCTTCTTGATTGATTTCCTTGGTGCCTACGGCAAGAACACAGATGTTGCAAATCTTGAACCGTTCCGTAAAGCGCTGGCCAAAGATGTTATCATGATGGAGAACCAAATTCCTGCAATCGCCCTTGCGGAGATGGGGAAAGAGCTAGAGCTGTTTTCTCCAGCAAAGAGTGCCAAAGATGTTAACATGATGGAGAACGAAGCTCCCGCAATCGCCCCTGCAAAGAAGATGAAAGGGTTATTGCCACCACTTATTCCTCTAGAAGAGAGTGTCACAGAAAACATGTTGTACTCCCAACTCTTCTACTACTTCTGCAAAGCCCACTCTCCGCTCGAGGTGTCGAGTCTGTTGCAGAATCAACGCCGTAAGAGTGTCCACCTCCTTGAGCACATGTATTATCTCGTCCTTCATGTCAATCCGTACAAACTAGAAGGGATTTCAGCCAAAGAATCAGTCATCATTGACGCTGGAACAGAGCTGTTAACGGCTTTAAATGAGCTAGGATTGGGAGGGCCCTTGATTAAGCCACTTCTGTTTGGTTTCAAGGCCATACAAGTGATAGAGAACAACAGCCTGGCCAAAGAGATTGTTTCCGGGCGAAGGAACAAGGAACATGAAGCGAACAATAAAGCGCCACAAAAGGCGGGAGCAGTTATAAGCCATATCTGCCTCCCTTCGGCTTCGGAGATGTCCGAGAAACACGGGGTGGACTTTTGGGTTTTGGAAGGAGTAGGGATAATGGGTATCAGGTTAGATGTTGAGGAGGCTAAGAAACCAGCGCTTTACCTCCCTGTTATCCATTTCAAATATGATTCTGATGTTGTGTTAAGAAACTTAGTGGCCTATGAAGCTGCTGTTGCTACCACAAAAGAAACCACCTTAGAGCTTGCTGAGTATGTTGTCCTGATGGCTAACTTACTCCAGATGCCAAAAGACGTGGCAATGCTGCGAGAAAGGGGAATCATAATGGGAAATGTGATAGGTGATGGAGAAGTGGTTGAAATCTTCAATGGGATTGGAAAATGTGTGGGGAAGTCAGAGGGAGTGTCTGCAAGCAAGGAGGTGAAGAATCAGGTGAAGGCCATGGTGGAGGAATGGGAGAAGAAGAACGAGAAGAAGGAGAAGACATGGAAAAGGGTCCAAAGATCGGTGGAGAAGGAGATTAAGAATGCAATTGAGGTTATGAGGAAACCTTGTGTCCTGGGTATGAAGTATCTGCTTTATATATTTTTGGCGTTGCTGGTGGTGCTTCAGATCATGCAAGCATATTGTGAGGTCTATGGATGCAGGAAAGATAGCTTTAAGTCCAATGAACACAGTCAATTCCTCTAATAAGCTTATTGTGTGATTTGGATAAAACTCAAATAGGCTAAAGGATCAAATAGGTCCCTGTACCCATATAAATAGCTCAATTGGGTACCCGAACTAAAAAATGGTCCAATCCAATCCTCCAACTCTTCAAAATCATTCAAATTTTTCGTTTTGCCGGTAAGACAACTTTTAAAAGTTGAGTGAGCAGGTTAAATGCTAAGTGTTATCTGACTTATGCAAATACATTACGACGTGGAAGGAAGGCGTGTCTTCACATTATGAAAACGAAAATCTGCAAAGCGAAGTCAAGAGCGACGATGAACAATGACGAATTTTGACCTAAGGCAAACGATCAAGCACAACGAGTGAAGGACGAAGAGGGAAGAAAGAACGCTGAAGGACTGGAGAAAGAGGAGACCTAAACTGTATGTATAATAAGCGAAGGACGAGCAACGATAAACACCAGGTACTGAAAATTCAATTGCAGCTTAAACTTATAGTTCTACGCATAATAAAAGTCTGTCGTTTGTATGCCAACTATTACAAATGAAGAAGAATTTCCGTAAATGATTATCTGTATTTAAGTGAATTTATCAATAACTTGTGAAATTTTCATTCACCATTAAAGAATGGAAGAGGAATTTTGAAAAAAATAGATATCCTAATTTTATGATTTCTTGACATTGAGGTTGTGAACTGTATGTATATGTGTTATATATCTGGTGTGTATGTTTGTTTTGTATATGTGTTGTTTGTTTGTTTAGAAAATGTTATATTTTTCAGAATGTGGGAGACTTTGGATTTAATTGCAGTGGCGGATCCAGGAAATTGAACTATTGGGGGCGGAACAAAATATAATGAGATATCCGAATAGCAAAAAATTGTAAAACAGTACATAAGAATTTACAGACTAAATAAAGTATATTACAATACAAAGAAAAGTTAAAAGGTGAATCACAATCGGTGTCTTCAGGGGCGGATGTAGATGGGGTCTAACCGGGCCCCGACCCACCCCAAATTTCATTTTATTTTTAATGTAAAAATATATGTTTAAAAAATTATCTAAAAAGATCTTTATATCAGCCTACCCCAAGCTTCGATCCTGATTACGTCCCTGGGTGTCTTTGAATTTTCAACTTTTGAGAGATATTCTATAATTTCATTTGTAATGATTCCGAATACATCTCTTTTTACTCCATATAAAGTAAACAAGACAATCAATCGGAATTCTATTTTCATCGTAATACTATTTATATCTAGTTGCAAATTGTCTATTGTTAATTTTAACCTACTAAAGTTAGTAAGTTACTGTGCAAACACAGTAACACTTCAATAGATTAGATTTTTTTAGAACATATTAAGATATTACTTCGATTGTTTATTTGTTATATCTAAATAATACATAAAAAGGACTTGATCATCAAATCTACACATAAGTAGATTAACAAGTTAACACAATCGGAGTACAAAATAGAAGTATAAAATAATCATTAGTTAGAAAATTACTCAAATAATTAATGCTTAATAGGCTTACAAGAGAAAGTGATAAACATACACTTTTGATATGCGGAGGAGCGGAGCTTGATTGGGTTATTAGAGCTGAAGTATACAGAGTTATTATTTCAGCATTTGAGCATTGCAACATTGAGTTATTGGGGGCATTTCACTTTTTTTATTGCATTGGGGGCAACTCTATTGGTCAATTTTTTTTCCTAGTATACCGTAGAGGATTATTGTTAGTTTATTGGGGGCAGCTGCCCCCCTACCTAAGTTGTGCATCTGACCCTGTTTAATTGTACACTACGGTGGAAGTTTTGAAAGGGGTAGACCAATGACTATGTGAATGGGAGCATTGAGGTAATTAAGAGTGATCCAGATGTCATTTCTTATCCTCATTTGAAGAAATATCTTGAATTTGGGCCATTTGGATAATTGGATGTGTAAAAGAAATGCTTTTTAAACTTCCATCTGAACCATTAGAAGCATTAAGGATATGGATGATGCAAGCACTTTGGAGTTGGTCAGTTTGTGTTCTAGTGTCAGAAAGTTTGACCTTTATGTAGTTCATGGGGATGGTGTTGGTGCTGACACACATAATATAAACAATATATATCAAACCACTGCACTTAATGAAAATATAGGCGCTTCATCTCAAATATACTATGTTAAATGCCAAATAAATGAGAAAACCTTTAAAGAGCGATTATGCCAACATCAATGAGTTGATTCTACTATATTGAATGAAGCTACAATTTGAGAGATTAAGAGCTTTGGTGGAAACCATATCTAAGAACTTTAACTCTATTCAAAACTTGTAAATTGAAATTGAAAATCAGAATAGCTCGAACCCTAGATGCAAGCGAAGATTATATCAGATGGATTAGAGGGAATTCGTGGGAAAAGAGTATCAACTATTTATTTTCAAAATTAGAAAATTATACAAAATCTAAGAAGGATAAAACACTCATTCAGAGGTGGAAAAGTTTCAGACAAACATTTAAAAAGGTTAGACAAGCCATCCTAACGCCTCCATTCGAGGTGTTCCCAGAGGATCTTTTTATGAAATTTTTGTGAGCACGTTCTTCATGAAGTGTAGATTATGTCCACAAAGTTTCAGTTTAAAATTCGATCGGGAAGTCAGTTAAATAAATTATTCGATAATATTGCGGCAAAGAATACATATAAAATGCAATGTCTTTCAATAATTTATTTAACTGACTTCTCGATCGAATTTTAAGCTGAAATATTACGGACATCATATACGCTTCCTGAAGAACATGCTCACAAAAATTCATCAAAAACTCCATCAAAAACCCGCTCAAATGACATTATTATCTTTACATGTAAATAAAATAGATAAATGATACTAGAAATGTAAGTATAAATTAAATATAGGGAAAAAGGTCAGATAGGGGCTCGAACTTATAAAAAAAATGTCAAATAAGGCCTTATATAGAAGGTTCTGTCCAGCCGACGCTATTTGGGGCGGTTCCCGGTGGAATTGTTCAATGAAACTTTTTGAGTATCTTATTCATTAAGACTAGTTTACTCATACCAATTTTAAGCTAAAACTTCAATCGGAAAGGCATTCAAATAAATTCTTGAAGATAAGTGCGCAGTTAAAAGCGTAGTTATCTTCAAGAATTTATTTGAATGCCTTCCCGATTGAAGGTTTAGATGAAATTTGGTATGAGTAAACTAAACTTAATGCATAAGATGCTTACAAAATTTCATCGAAAATATCCATCGGTAACTGCCCCAAATGGCGTCGGCCGGACAGAACCTCCTATATAAGGCCTTATTTGACATTTTTTATAAGTTCGAGACCTTACGTGACCCTTTTCTCTTAAACACATGCAGAAGAAAATAGTCTTTTGGTTTCTTCGTCCGTATTCTTGGAAGGGTGAATCCCGCGTTCTGACTTCAAAATTTATATCCAAACTTTATAATACTAGTCTTTCACCCGTGCGTTGCACGGGATAACAAATTAGTCAAAAAATTATTTGCAAAAAACTTTTTACAATGCAATATATAAATAGAAATGAAGAAATAATTGAAAAGAATAATCCACAATTTTATATAAATAATACTTACTACATCCATTACTTGAATGTTGGGATAAGAGAGAGTGACACAGTTGTTACAAAAAATAAAGTTACGCGGTTAATATTAAAATGATAAAGTATGAATAAAATAAGTATGGATTAAAATAGCACAAATATTACCAAATACAGTATGAGCCAAACTTAACGGGATAAGGGGAAAAGGAAAAAATGAGAGAAAGATAGTGGAATAGAGAGAGTAACACTTAACATTAATCTAAGTGTTGGACGACTATGAGAATAGGCAACTTGTAGTTTCCATTTTCCTGCAATTCATGTGCTTTAAACCTTAGACATGGAAGAAGAGAAATAAAAGCAAAAATACATTTTTCTCTAAGATTAATATAGTTGTTGAGGGTAAGTCCCGTAGATCCGAAAGCCCAACACGAACTTTGGATATCTCAGGAATGGCCCAGAATCAAAGTGTATAAGAAAATATAGATCTGAACTAACTAAAACTCGAAAGCCCACTTGTATTAATTAACCAATCTGATTACAAGGGATTTCCCGATCGGTAAGTCGGAAACTATGCTTTAATACAAGAAATAAGAGCAAATGATGCTATTCTAGAGCTTGAGTATTGAAATGCTAACCCTTACAATGACTTGAAACCTTCTATTTATAATAATGAAGAGCATGGGCTGCCTCTTGCTGATTGGCCGTTGTTCCACCGACTTGGTCATCCATGCTTCCACTTGCTGATGTCATAGTCTGGCATTAATTGCACCTGGCCACTTGCTGGTTGGCCGTTGCTCGAACGGGATGTTGGGCTGCACTGAAGATGCTGTCAAATTGGCCCAAGTATGATATATAGCCCGAACCTCGTTCGGTATGTCTTCTTACTGGGCCAATCTTTATTTGGGCCGAACTCCGTTCGGTATGTCTCCTTACTGGATCTTTTCATCATAGAGTGATGGGCCTGTTACTTGGGCCGGATATCTTGGGCCTTCCCGATCTGGGTATTGGGCCTCTAGGTCAATATCCCAACACAAGTCCCCCACTTCCGATGTCTCGAACGAAGTGAGTGCATCAGGAAGTATACCAATGTCATAATGCCCCGAATGGTGATCGGGGTACAGAAGTAATCAGTTCCCCATGCTGCGATTTGACGGCTGCCGCTTCATTTCCCCATATTCATCATGATAACCGTCGTTTAGTCTTTTCATTAGACGCGTGTTTAGCTTAAATGCTCCTAGTGATGTGTCGCTCTTTGATTGGTTCTCGACACGGCGGTTTCAAGGCTATAAATTAGCCCTTAACTTCTCAATTCCGGGTTTCGACTCTGCAATTCCCTGGCCTTCGTTGTTTCCTCTGCAAATTTCCCCCTGCTTCCCTTGCTCAGGTAATTTCCCAACTTTGGATTCCCCATCTTCATTTCTGGCTTCGATCGAGATGAGCCCCAAAGAGCATTCCTCTGATTCGGAGATGGCCTCTCATGGGGATGACCGTGACACCGCCATTGTAGATGCCATCCCAGTTCCGTTTGCCGGTGTTTCTACTGAGACGGCGACGAATACCAGGGCTGAGGCGGAGGACCTCCCTAGCACTTCTTCTTCCTCCAGTGAGGATTCTGATGACACCAAATCCGAGGACGAAATAGCCTCCATGGCGGCCAGACGTCCCAACGATGTTCCTCGCCATACTCTTGACCTAAAATTGATTAGGGAGAGGAGGCAAAAATTGACCTCTCACAATAGGGCCGAAATTCCGGCCCTTATCCCTGACCCGGTGGATTTCCGTTTGCAAGCCGGGCTTCACCCAATGCGTCATAGGCCCGGAATGACCATAGTCCACTTTGACTCGATTAGGGCCGGCCTTAGATTTCCGCTACACCCCTTTTTCATTTCTTTCTTCAATTTCTACGAAGTTGTACCGGCCCAGATTATGCCGAACTCTTATCGAGCAATGGCGGGTTTTATTTGTCGTTGCAAAGATGCCGGCGCTCGACCAACCCTAGAACTCTTCCACCAATTTTTCAAAGTAGCCCCCCAACAAACCCATGGCTATCTGGCCACTAGTGCCCGAACGGGACACATCCTGTTCAAAGGAAACCCAACTTCG